ATACAAGTCGCATTAGGATTATGGGATATATCTATAAATCAAATTTTTAAAAAAAATAAATAAATAAATAAAAATTATAAAATTATTAAAAGATTTAAGCTCGAAAAAACTTCTTTTAAAATAATTAACGTTAATAATATAATTGACAAATTAGATAGAAGTATCATTTAAGATCAACCGGCAGGCGATTGAGTCATTTCGGTTTCCACTTCCCGCCACTAGAGGCGCCGCTATCTTAGCCGTGCGCCGTTCGGCCGCCGACCCTTATTGATCGAACGCTATCTGTAAGGTTAACTTCGTACAGCTGGCAACTGAGCGATCCGTTCTCCTACAGAAAATTACACCCAGCATCTATCAGGATACGTGCAAAATGTCCGTCGGGATAAAATACATTCCTGGGATTCTACGGATAAGAAAAATGCAGCGATGAAACAGCGGAGGAGGAGGCCGTGGTCATAAAAAAAACACAAAAAAAAAAAAAATATTGTCAAAAATATGAGCGATGATTGTTGCCTTAGGTACGGATAGGTGTGAACCTCCACAACATGAGGCGCATGTAAAAAGACATGGAGAGGCGTGTCTCCAAGCGTAGTGTACCAAATACTTTAGCTCTTCTAACGCTAACGTGCTCTCTCCTACTGTCCTACAGCTGGTACATCTATTTTTGCTGTAACGCACCTTTAGAATCTTCCAAGCCTCCTCAAGATCCTTCGAAGCATCGCAAGATGCCGACCAAACACGCCGATTATGTTATCCGTAGTTGGCTTCCGAGAAGAATTAAAGAAAGGATCGAAGCAAACAGCTTAGAAGAAAATGATAGGAAGGTTATTAACAGAACTTATTCGGCATCCGGTTATCCTTTAAGGAAACTTCCTCAAGCTTTAATTATTGGTGTTAAGAAGTGCGGTACTCGAGCCCTTTTGGAATTCTTACGTTTGCATCCTGACGTAAGAGCGCCCGGTCCTGAAATTCATTTCTTTGATAGGTATTATCGCCGTGGGATGGAATGGTACAGGTAAATGTCGTATTTTTACTGTGATTTTACAAGTTTTTTTCCCTGTGTTCACGGCTTAAACTTTATCATTTTACGTGTTCTTCCTACTTGTCATAAGCTTTATTTTTTTTTACCATTTTTCGTCTTATAAGCCTCGATCTTTATCATTTTACACGTCTTTTAAGTGTTACTATCTTTACCACGTTACATATTACGCTCAATCTTTACTATTTTTGCGTATTTTTTACGTGTTCTAAGACTCAATCTTTGCCATTTTACATGTTCTAAGACTCAATCTTTTCCATTTTACATGTTTTTTACGTATTATAAGAGTCTATCTTTACCATTTTGCTTACTATAAGGTTCAATATTCATTACTTGACGTATTTTTTACATGTGCCAAGGCTCGATATTTATCAGTTTGCATGTTTTTTCCCGTGTTCTAAGGTTCTATCTTTATCAGTAATTTATCAATATAAATTTGTTTCTAACGTGTCAAAGTTAAAGGAGGGGTTGATTTATTGCTATTTTCAGTAGACTGTAACGTTATTATGTTATATAAAAGTGAGTAAAATTTTTAAAACATAAATTCTTCTACAGATTTTTTTTTTATCCTTCCTCTCCTCCTCCTCCTCCTCCTCCTCTTCTTCTTCTTCTATTTTTTTTGCTTCAGGATATATCAAGAATCAATACTGTCAGAGCTTTAATTTTCTTTTCTGTTAATTAGCAATTAAGAATTGATTTTAATTAACTTTCTAATTAAAATTAGGAATGCTGTAAATAACTAAACATCCCGATTCTTTACGGAATCGAATTTTAATTATGTTTAAGAGGGGAATACATGTTTTTTTTTTTCCTCCTTCCCCCTTTTTTTTATATGGTTTTCTATGGCTTGTATTTTATTTTTAGTGAAAATTTTATACTCAGTTTGACGAGAAGAATGTTAAAAGACCCATTTTATATAGAGAGACGAGTTGATTTTTTTTTTCTCTCTCTCTCTTTTTTTATATTTTTATTTTATTTTTTTCCTCTACTTCTTCTTGATGGAAGATTGAAAAATTCAATATATGTGCATTTTGCCTTGAAAAATCATTTTGCGAAAATTGAATTTTTTCATCAATACACAATGTCGAGCTACACCCGAAAAATTTAAATGTATA